AGCGATGTGAATATAAGTGTTCTAGGTCCGGTACGCTTAAGTCACACATGCGCACTCACACGGGAGAGAGGCACTATGCGTGCGATATATGTGAACACAGATATACTACCCTTGGTTATCTCAAGGTACACATGCGCACTCACACGGGAGAGAAACCGTTTGCGTGTGAGAGATGTGAATATAAGTGTTCTACGTCCGGTACGCTTAAGTCACACATGCGCACTCACACGGGAGAGAGGCCTTATGCGTGCGATATATGTGAACACAGATATACCACCCTCGGTTATCTCAAGGTACACATGCGCACTCACACAGGAGAGAAACCGTTTGCATGTGAGAGATGTGAATATAAGTGTTTTACGTCTGCTAGGCTTAAGTCACACATGCGCACTCACACGGGAGAGAAGCCGTTTGCATGTGAGAGATGTGAATATAAGTGTTCTACGTCCGCTATGCTTAAGTCACACATGCGCACTCACACGGGAGAGAGGCCGTATGCGTGCGATATATGTGAACACAGATATAGGACCCTCGGTCACCTCAAGGTACACATGCGCACTCACACGGGAGAGAAACCGTTTGCATGTGAGAGATGTGAATATAAGTGTTATACGTCCGGTATGCTTAAGTCACACATGCGCACTCACACAGGAGATAGGCCGTATGCGTGCAATATATGTGAACACAGATATAGGTCTCTCGGTCATCTCAAGGTACACATGCGCACTCACACAGGAGAGAAACCGTTTGCATGTGAGAGATGTGAATATAAGTGTTCTACGTCCGGTATGCTTAAGTCACACATGCGCACTCACACGGGAGAGAAACCGTACGTGTGCGATATATGTGGATACAGATATAAGACCCTCGATACTCTCAAGGTACACATGCGCACTCACACGGGAGAGAAACCGTTTGCGTGCGACACATGTGAATACAGGTGTACGACCTCCAGTGATCTCAAGATACACATGCGCACTCACACGGGAGAGAAACCGTTTGCGTGCGATATATGTGAATACAGGTGTAGGAGCGCCCGTCATCTCAAAGTACACATGTTCACTCACACGGGAGAGAAACCGCTTGCATGTGAGAGATGTGAATATAAGTGTTATACGTCCGGTATGCTTAAGTCACACATGCGCACTCACACGGGAGAGAGGCCGTATGCGTGCGATATATGTGAACACAGATTTACGTGCCTCGGTAATCTCAAGGTACACTTTCGCACTCACTCGGGAGAGAAACCGTATGCATGCGATACATGTGAATACAAGTGTACGACCTCCAGTGACCTCAGGAAACATATGCGCATTCACACAGGATAAAAGCCGTACGTGTGCGACAAGTGTGGATGCAAGTTTACTGCCTGCAGTTCACTGAGTAGACACTGGCACTGAAATAAATTCCAGAATAACGATCCGATGCAATATGATAGTATTAGTAAACAACCGTTTTGCTGTAGCGTTGTTACCTTACACCTCATCGGTTATTCTGCTGAAATATAAAAGTGTATTCTCTACTGCAGGTGGTGTTTTTAACCTGGGGAGGGAGAGTTTGGTGCCTGACAATGCCAACATATTAGTTTTTCTTTAGACTAACTATACAAAGTATAGAAGCATAGCGCTGCCTCAGAGGAGACATATTGTGACCTAACTTCCTAAGGTGGACTACCGACTAGTGGTGCTGTATCTTTAGTTTATAGATGAGCTAGTTTTACTGAGCTTTCTGGCGGATTGAGTAGACGTGGATTCATTCTGTGACATTCTGTTCGTTCTATTTGATTTTGTTCTCGTTTCAATATAGATGTTGTTTTGTTGATTTCTTGTTAAGTTGTTATACTTTCTCGGGAAAGTAAAGGTTTAACTTTTTAGGTGTGTAAGTGTTCCTTCTTCTTAGTTGCTTCTCTCTGTCCCACCTCTCTTTCT